AAGTATACATTTTTACAACAGAAAGCACAAGATTTATAATCTATTTAGATTTATAATCTAAAACGTGAGTTGACTCATTACAACTTCGTAGCCCAGGCTGATCTCAAACTCACAACAATCCTCTTGCCTCAGCCTCCCAAGTGCTGGAATTACTGGTGTGCACCACCACACCTGGCCAAAATGGAACTTTACATGTTACTTGTTTTCTTATAGAGATCTGCAAAATTGCTCCTGCTGAGCATCTGACCAGCATGGAACCAGCATCCTCTCTTAACCTCTCAAAAGCGATAGAACATGCAGGTGCTGACACCAGGAAACATGGAGCTTAGTTTCCTTTCTACAGGAAAGGGTTCAATGAGCTGAGGGCAGCTGCAAGTGAAAAGGCAACTGTGGAGAATTGCATTACCTATGTGTACCCTCTCCACTCAGCTCCTTACTGTCAACAGCCCTCAGCCCACCTCTACATCCTGAGATCTTTTTCCTTAGAGTTAGCTTTTTTTTTTTTTCAGACAGGGTCTCACTGCAGTTAAGGATGGCCTTGATCTCACTTTATAGCCCAAGCTGGTCTGGAGCTCAATAGGATCCTCTGGCCTCATCCTCCGAAGTGCTGGGATTACAGGCATGCACTACCGCTTTATTTATTCACTTTTATACACGGAATGAAACTCAGGGCCTTGTGCTTGGCAGGCAGGTGCTCTGCCAATGAGTTACATACATCCCCGGCCCCTTGGAGTTTCCTTTATTTTATTTATTTATTTTTTTTATTTTTTTTGCAGAACTGGGGTTTGAACTCAGGCCCTTGTGCTTGCCAGGGAAGCACTTATTCCACTGAGCCATCACCCTAGCCCCTATTTTATTTATTTTTATGTATTTGGTACAGGGTCTCATTATGCAGCTGGGATTCATAGTGATCCTCCTACTTCAGCCTCCCCAGCTCTGGGATTACAGGCGTGTGCCAACACTCCCAGTCTTAGAACCATGTTGTTTGTTTGTTTGTTTTGCGGAACCGAGGATTGAACTCAGGCCCTTGTGCTTGCCAGGGAAGTGCTTATTCCACTGAGCCATCTCCCCGGCCCTACACTCCCAGTCTTGGTGACCAGCTCTGTGTGCCCGAGGCGGGGCTGACATGGCATTTGGTACTGGGGATTGAATCCGGGTCTTTGCACTTGCCTAGGCAGGCACTTATGCCATTGAGCTATCCCCGCAACCCTTGGAATTAGCTTTAAATAAATCTTTTTTCATTTCCTTTTTACCAAAACATATGGTCTCTTTTGCTTTGATCAGCCATGAGCAAAAACCTGAATATATGAGCCTGAGTGGCAGAAACAAGGCTTTTCTTTTCTTTCTTTCTTTCTTTTTTTTTTTTTTAGAAACAAGGCTTTTCAAAATGGATGTTCTTGGCCCCTAAGATGGCTCAGTAGAATAAGCGCTTCCCTGGCAAGCGCAAGGGCCTAAATTCAATCCCCAGTTGTGAAAAAAATTCATTAAAAACAAAGTGGATGTTCTGTTTGCTGGGTTTAGGGACATGGTGTATGGTGTAATCCTGCAAGCTGAGGCAGTTTAGGAGCCAAATTGGGGATGAGTTTGAGGGGCTGGGGAGATAGCTCAGTAGAATAAGTGCTTGCCTGGCAAGTGCAAGGGCCTGAGTTCAATCCCCCGTTTCTAAAAAAAAAAAAAGGGAATGAGTTTGAGGTTTGACGCTACACCATGGACCATTTCTCAGTTCCCCCAGTCAGAGGGCTTACCCCGCTAGCCCTGCAGACTCCCACATGCACAGCTGATACCCGATCCCTAAACCAGGCATCTTGGGCAAGTGGAGCAGGCAAAGATTCAACAGGAGGTAATACACCAACACCCATACCTCACTCTGGCACACAGGGACCTGTGCATTTGGGGAGCCCAGGTCTTGGTCCTCCATACTCCTCCTGAAGGCTAGCCAGCTACACCCTAATTGTCCCTGCCTGGTCCCTTGACTTCTGTATCACCACTTCCTTTTTCTTGGTAAATAGTTGATGAAAATGAAACCAATCACTGTCTTGGCCTTGCCCTCAGGATTTTTGCCCCCTGGTACTAGAGGTTGATCAGAGGGCCTTTAAGGCCTTCCCACTGAGTTACAACCCTCAATCCTTTATTTTATTTTATTTTATTTTTTTGCGGAACCAGGGATTGAACTCAGATCCTTGCGTTTGCCGGTCAAGCGCTTATCCTACTGAGCCATCTCCCCAGCCCCTCAATCCTTTATTTTAAAACAAAACCTCAGTAAATTGTAAGTTTCTCAGGCTGGGTTTAAGCTGTTGATCCTCCTGCTTTGGCCTGTTAAGGTTTGTGTCTAGATGACCTCCAGCATCTTATACAGCTGTAAGATTTTTTCAGAGGTCGCTGAATCTAGAGTGTGTGATTGATTCCTGGTTTCATGCTGGGAATCACGGTGCTTGCAGCTGGGTGGTGGCTCATGCCTGTAACCCTCCCCCAGCACTCAGCGAGCTTAGACAGGAGGACTGATGCAAATTCAAGGCCAGCTTGGGCTACAAAGTGAGATTTTGTTTGTATGTTTGTTTTTATGTATTTAGTACAGGGTCTCACTATGTAGACTGGACTTCTAGTGATCCTCCTGTTTTCAGCCTCCCAAGAGCTGGGATTACTACCACACCCAGTCTCAAATGCCGTCTCAGCACGCCCTGGGTGTGGGGCTGGCATAGCAGGCCCAGGGATTGAACCCTCAGCCCCTGTGCCTGCCTGCAGGCACTTTAATCTGTTGAGCTATTTGGCCGGCCCTCTCCTTTTAACTTTGGATGACAGGTATTTTGTCTCAGCAACGAGAGAAAAGTAAGACAGCCTCCCACTGTGCGAGAATTACAGTTGTATACCAGGGTGCCTGGTCTCCCCATGTTCTTTTTTTTTGGTGGGGGGGGGGCTGGCTCAGGCTGCCTTAAGTGAGGGTCTGGTAAGGCAGGTGGAGCTGGGGATGGAAAACCATGGTATCCTGCGCCTGACTGCATTTGCATGAGCAGGTGCTTAAACAACTGAGCTAACCGGCAGGCTCCCTACCCATGTTCTTTTAGTGAAACACTGTCATGAGGTATCCTGTTCTCACCCCTATTTCAGCACCTGCCTTCCCTATCTTCACCCCTGATACCAGCAGAATTGCTGAAAACCATTCTGTTGCAGACTTAGTGTGAGAGACCAAAGAAAGCCTTCTGCTAGGGCTAGAGACAGAGATGTCAGAGTCAAGGGTTCAGTTGGGAGGAATCAATAGGATCTAGACAGCCTTGGACTCTGGCCAGAGTCTGAATGTCTTGCTAGCCCAGCATTTCCTTTTTCTTTTTCCTTTTTTTCTTTTTCCGACAAGGTTTCACTGTGCAATTCAGGCTGGCTTTGAACTCACTGTGCTGCCTCAAACTCACAGGAATCCTACTTCAGCCTCACAAGTGCTGGAATTACAGGTGTGCACCAGTATGCCTGGCCCAAGCATTTTTGATGTAGGAAAAAATATAGCACCTGACCTTTCAGTGTCAAATATTTTGCTTGTGGTCTCACAACATCAAGGAATGAAGTCTCAAATGAAAGGAGGAAGTTAAGAGAGTTTTATTGGAAGTCAAGTAAAAGAGAATAGCTCCTAGATTTTCAGGAGTCCCAAGTGGGTTGCTGTTGAGGTCCTTAGTGAGAGGTAATTTATACAGCAAAATCACAATGGGGAT